GAACTTGTAATACCTTTAAAAACTTTTGTAAACCCTTTGAAAACGTTTGTAAACTTCTAAAACCCTGTCAAACTATTTTTAAATCATTGTATGCCTTTAAAAACACTTGTAAATCTATTTAAAAACACTTGTAAATCCTTTTAAAAAACCTTTAAAAATCCTTGTAAATTTTTAAAATCCTTTAAAAATCCTTGTAAATCCTTTTAAAATTGTTATAAACTTATAAAAAAATTTAAAAACCATTGTTAATCATTTAAAAACCATTTAAAAACCTTTGTAAGCTTCTAAAACCCTTTAAAAACCATTACAAATCTTTTAAAAACCATTTAAAAACTCTTGTAAATCCCTTTAAAAACCGTTGTAAACCCTTTAAAAGACCCTTTAAAAAAATCTTGTAAACCCTTTAAAAAAATTTGGCGGGAAATTTTTGAAAAAGTTTTTTTTGGCGGGGAAATTTTTGGCGGGAAAGTTTTTGGGGGGGAAAATTTTTGGAAGGAATATTCCTTCTTTTGGAAAAAAATATTTTTTCAACTAGGGGTAAAATGGCTATTAAAATTTAAGAGAGGGCAAAAATGAAAATGGCAAAAAAAAGAGGGTATTTTTAAAAGAGGGTATCTGAAAAAGGGTATTGGTATCAATTTCTCATGTTAACTAAATAAATAGTCAATAATTTATGTTGTAATTTTGAACTTTAATATTCATTTTATTGGTTATTAGTCATGCTAAATGAATCTAATTTATACGCACACTAAATAAGCATATGTGAATATTTTTACTTTCAAGTTTGTAAACAACTTTCCTCCAATTTTTAGTTTTTGTTTTCAAAAAAAGAAGAGGAAGAATATTTGTACTTCTTGGTTAGTTTTCCTTTTTGATTAAGGTAAGTAAAAATATATATAGATGGAAATATGTGACTTAGTAGTTAGTATGTATACAGATTTCATATTTTTCAATATAAAATGTCAATCTTAAATTTTAATACTTTTAATTGATACATATACATGAAAATTAGCATATGTAAATATTAAAAGTTTAAAGACAAATTTTGGTAGAAGCTATGAAAAGTAGTGAAGTTTGGACTCAAATTAATAAAAGGAATGACCCAAAATATATTTTTCTTTCCTAATTCATATTTTCTTGGTTGAATAACTAAGCAGTTCTGAACGAAAACTCATAGTCTCGGTCCAAATGCTACGCAAACCGACGATGAAGCGCACCTATGAGACCCAGTTTGCGAAGAGGTTTAAATGAATTGATTTGACCACCTATATCACCAAAATGCACTTATATTTTCGGTCAAGGGTCCTGAGAGAACTCTATAGTTAAGCGTGCTTATGCTGGAATAGTCAAAGAATGGGTGACCTTCAGGGAAGTGGTTGTCGTAACTATGTGAGTGAGGCCAAAACACAGTGAAAGATCATGTGGTGATTCGTAGGCTCGGTAAACAAGTCTTTAAACCTCCCTGGCGTAGCAAACCGGCCATCGGGTATTAATGGGTTCATGGCCTTAGTGAGAAGATGTGAGGCCCATTAAGAGAGGTGTATCCATGGGCTAGTGGTGAACATGGGGTCCACTAAAGAGATGACGGTTGGGGCGTTACAAGTGGTATCAGAGCCGAACCCAGATAAGTGTAGAGTGGTGGGCACACACTGTTAAGGAGTGACGATCGTTGTGCGCAACGAGGACGTTGCGGTCTATTAGTGGGGGAGAATTGTGAGACCCAGTTTGCGGAGAGGTTTAAATGAACTGATTTGGCCATTTATGTCACCAAAGTGCACTTATATTTTCGGTCAAAGGTCTTGAGAGAACTCCACAGTTAAGCGTGCGTATGCTGCAGTAGTCAAAAGATGGGTGACCTTCCGGGAAGTGATTGTCGGAACTGTGTGAGAGGCCAAAACACAGGGAAAGATCATGTGGTGATTTGTAAGGTCGGTAAACAAGTATTTGCCTCCGAGACGTAGCAAACCAGCCGTCGAATATTAGTGGGCTCATGGGCCTAGTGAGAGGACGTGAGGCCCATTAAGATAGGTGGGCCCATGGGCTGGTGGTGAACATGGGGCCCACTAAAGAGATGGCGGTCGGGGAGTTACAGCACCGCTTCGGATCGCTCAAGCTAGATTTCAAAAGCTGCTTCCCGCAAGCGTTTGCGATTGCGGGTAGTTGCAATTGGTTTTAAAAAAGAAAGAAACTAAAAATGGAAAATCTGTAAATTAAAATATATATTATCAAACCATATATATATTTATATATATTCATATTAATTCTAAAAAAAATCATTCTCTAAATTTATTTTCAAATATTTTTAATTACTTGTGTTTCAAAATAAAATTTATTTGTTTAACATTTGAATAAATTATTTAGTTTTATATTTAGTAATTATTTATTTATTTTTATTAATCATTTATAATAATAAAATTATACTTTTGATAATATATTTTACTAAAATTAATTTAGTTATGGTTTTAGTTATTAATCATATTAATTTTTAATATATTTCATAATAATATTTATTTTGGTATATTTATACATTTTATAATGGGGGAATTTCAAAAATACCCCTTTTCCAATACCACTTTTTGAAAATACCCCTCTTTCTAATTTTATCAAAAAGTAACTATAAAATTTGAAATTTATCAAAAACATATGTGTAAACTTATATTTATAGATACAAATTATCTTTATATGTGTGTAAATTTATATATATATATATATATATATATATATACATATATATTTCATAAATACCGTATAATACCTTTTAAAAACCTTATAAAAACAGTGTAAACCTTTTAAAAGCCTTATATAAACATTATAAATGTTGTTTAGAACCTTTTAAAACCTTATAAATATTTGGATTTAGTCTCCCAGTAGTAATGATAATCTCGATGTACCTTATTAACCATACAAAAGTTTATAATTTTTCATATTTGAAAATGGGTATTTTTGAAAATGGATATAAAAGAGGGGTATTTTGAAAAGGGACACCAAAAGGGGTATTTCTCAAAAATTCTCTTTTATAATTGTATTTATATCTTTTGTAATTTTTTTATTTAACCGCTATTACTTCCGCTGGTCAACCATAAAACTCCCATAAACACACTCATTTTAAAACATTAAACTAGTCGTTAAAAACGCTTAATAATGGTTAAAACTGTAATAACTCGCTTCCTCAAACTCCCGCAAGCCTAGCCCTGGGCAAATATATTCGTTAGATTCGCTTCGATTCGATATTCGTTTCGATTCGATTCGAAAAATACAAATATCTATAAGATGTTGAAGTGAAGCAAATATGAAAATGTAGTATTCGTAAAAACCGAAGCAAAAAACAAATATTGATTTTTTTAGTGCCGAATATCCGCTTTGCTTTGTATATTTATATATATGTATAAATATAATTCATTATATAATATATATAATATGTGTATTATGGATTTGGGTTTATATCAAATAGGCTTATTATTCATATTACTATATTTTGGCACGTTACGCTTTTTGCTTAATGTTGCTCTTAAACAAATAAAACTGTATTTAAAAAATAATATTAAAAATAAACGTTAGAAAAAATTATCGGGTTTTGGGTTTCTGGATTAGTTTGATGGCATGTTCTTTTCAGAGGTACGATAAGTTATCAATGGTGGTTACATTTCCTTTTTGAAAACATGTCAAACAAGAATCTCTAATATCTAATATCTCATATTTTGCACCTTGTGTTTATGTATTACATGTTTTTAGATTCAAAAAAAAAATAAATGGGTCGAAGCGAAGCGAATAGTTCGCGAATATTATAAAAAATACTCGAATATTCGAAGTTCCGAATACTCAAAAATTTACGAAGCGAAGCAAATACCAAAATGAACTATTTGGTCGAAGCGAAGCAAATCACAAATATTACAGATTTTCCGAATATTCGCTTCGTGCCCAAGGCTACGCAGCGCTGTGTTTAAACCATTCAAGCCCTAAAACTATAGTACCTGTCAGATTTGTTTTTAAATTGTCTTAACTAAACGACATCGTTTCTTTGATGTAATCCAAAGATTCAAAACATGAAAACACTTTAAACTCGTCCTGGGTAAACGGCAGAAACCGTTAAAACCGAACCGATCAACCCGAGAATTTCGGTTATCGGCGAAAACCGAAGAGATTTTGTCAAACCGTTCGGTGATATTGATTTGAGAAATCGGATTTCGGTTCGGGTCGGTTCGGTAATCGGTACCGATCGGTTTTGCTGAAACTGAGATTCTGCAGCCATATATAAAATTTGTGATGAGTCGTTAACCCTAATATGTTTTAATCTTTTTCTTTGGCTGCCGCTTGCAACAAAAACGAGAGACTTCATTTGTACTTCTTTCTTCCTAATTCTAATCATATCACTAGTCCTAGATCTTTCTTCATATGTTCATGATTCATCACGTCTCTTCTCCCTCGTGAGTTCATCATCTTCTACATCCTCTTTCATTCTCTAAATCTCAATCGTTGTTAACACTTCTTCTTTCTAAACCCGTAACCGCGAACCACTTCTTCCTCTCTCTCATTACCAAACTTATCGGTAATCTTCAGATCTATTATTTATGGTTTTCGAACAAGCTTTATCGAACGGAGAGACTGAACGGTCGGTCATGCCGTCGCTGCCTCCGCGCTGCCGAGTCGAACCCTAATTGTTGTTAATGGATTCACTTTGTAAATTTATTAAATGGGCTTTTAATTTTCTTTGTTAATATCATTTTCAAAGATATAATGGATTTGGGCTTCTTTTAACCCATTATACATTGTTATTCTTTATTCGGTTTATATTAACCGAAATAGAAAAAATTCGGTTAAATTTCGGAAATGATTTAAAAGCCAATAACCGAACCGAATAACCCGAGTACCGACCGAACCGAACCGAAATAAATTTCGGTTTAGTTCGGTGGATTTTTTTGTAAACCGAATTTTGCCATAACCGAATAACCCGACCCGTTTAACCCGAATTCGCCGAACGCCCAGGACGACTTTAAACCTTTTCTTCTTCTTTCTTCTTCCCTTCAATAGATTCGAACTCCTTTCTTCTTCTCATTGATTCCAACATTGAATCAAAGAGTTCTTCCTTGTCTTAGCTTGTTGAAACCCAAACTCTCAATTCCGAAATCGAATCAGTTAGTGTTGCTTCGTCCTCCCTTGTCTTCGATTCCGAATCCAAACACAAACTCATCGATTTGCATATGGGTCTTCTTTGTCCGCCATAGCTGGCCACAGATTGAGCTTTATATTGTCGATTTCGAAGTGGGTTTTACGGATTTTGGTTAAGTATTTTCCTTTTACTGATTCAATTTTGCATTTTGATGAGAACTTCCATCGATTGGGATTAAAAAGATGCTAGCTTTGGATGTGTAAATGTAGAAATTGGAATTTATAATTCATGTGTCTCTGCTTTGATTTAAATTAGAGATAGATGTTTACTGATTATGTTACTCTTCTTTGATTTGGTTGTGCTTAGCACTGTCACTTTATCAGTTAAAGACTCTTGATTTTGATGTTTTTGTTTGTAACAGGGCAACGCAGCGATTGATATAAAGCAACCAAAGAGATCTGAGGCAACCCTTCTCTCCTCTAGTTAGTGGTTAGTTCTTTAAAACCTCTTTTCTCCTCTGGCTTGTGTAGTTGTGTTGATGGCTTTTGAATCTTAGCTTAGGTAACTAATGACTTTACTGATTCGATTAGCTTAGATTTTGACTAGTGTAGTAGCTTAGTGTAGGCGTTTACATTAGAAGCTTAAGTGGGGTTTCTCCTCTCGTTAGTGTAGGCGTTTACATTAGAAGCTTTGCTCAATTAGATTCTGGTTTTACTTTAAGTGAATGTTATTAATACATTTTTATGGAAAGTTTCAGTGTATCAGAACGTGACTGAGGAAGCTTAAAAGAAGATAACTTTACAGATTTTGGTTAGTGTTTTCCTGAGGCTGAGGTTGAGGTTCGATCTCATCAAGAAAGCTGAGGTTTGTGTTTGATGTTTGATGTTTGAAGTATCATTGTGCTTTTGTTTGAAAGCTCTTGCCTTGTCTTTTGCTATCAGGAATCTTCCTTTGTTTCATTTATGATATTCTTTTGTTGATTTTGCTATCAGGAATCTTGTCTTTTCTTTTGTCTTTGATGCTTTGTTTTTACAATCTTGCTTTTAGACCATTCATCTGCAGCTTAGACCTCAGTTTTTAATGCCTTTTTTCCACAGCTTTAATTGACACTGGTCGTCTTTGTTTCATGATGGGGCTGAGTGAATTGTTTTATTTACATCTGATATGAGCCTTTGCTTTGCTTCCATTGATGCTTGTTTAGTTTATTCTGTTTCGTTTTTGTGAGAGATCATAGCAAGATCATAGTTAATGCTGTTCCTGCTTCTTCTTTTTGTATTTCTTCACCGTGCATATATTTTTTGTGCTAATGGAACAGGATGAGTTTATTTATTGCAGTACCTTTGCAAGTCATGTGGGTTCTGTAGTGGTTGTGCTAGTGAACAGAGACACTGTCTTGAGAATTATTCTTAACAAGGCATAGACTTGATATTACTTATTTACTTCAAACTTTGTTTTTGATGTGTATTGCCTTGGTACGTGATTTATATATGTACGTGATACTTATTATAGCAGAATGTGTACATGTATTCCTTGGTACGTGTTAGTTTTGTATTCTTCTTTCTTAGAGTGAATTTTTTCAGATTTTGAGCTCATCTTTGGTTTTGTTAGATTTCTCTTTAGTTATTGACCTCTATTGTGCATAATGTATAATGTACGGAACCAAAGGCGTGTTTTATGTGTTATCATAGCTACATTATACATCTGGCACGACCTAAGAGACAGATTTTGTTGTACACCAAGTGTTCGACGAATTTCGCCATCGAGGCTTATGGAGGAAAAAGACTGGGAAGCTTCCTCTTCGAGCGAAAACGAAGCTGGTTTTCCAAACGATGATGACGACGACGAGTTTCATTCTGGTGGTTCAGAGCCCAGGTTACAGTTCAGGTGGATAAAAGTTGGTGACATGTTTCTCGATTTACTTGCCCGAATCATAAACTGCTAAGTCAACTGTTCTTACACTCAGTTTCTCTTTTCATTCGTGTTTGCGTAGAGTAGGATCTTCCAAGGCTCGTTGGATTGCCGAATTAGGAATGGCTGAAGTTGAGGTCAAAAGAGGAAAACTTTGGACAACTACTGGAATCATTCGTAGTGGAAAGACATATTGCTTCATCGAAGAGGCTCTGTATGTGGCAAACTAAACATTTACTAATTTTACGGATCTTAGATTTCTGAAATTCACATTATGAAGTCTGTTCCTTTTTCTCATTGTCTTCCTCTCGTGGCAGGTATTTGAGTGAAATAGGAGAGTTGCAGATCTTAGGTAGTGAAGATGATGTTGTGATAACGTTAAAGGACTTGTATGAGAATATTGCAGAGGAAAAAAGCGGTTGCTGTTGGGAAAACTACGAGGTTTATAGATACTTAAAGAGTCTAGGCTACATCCTCGGCAGGCATGGAGTTTCTTGGACGTCAAAGAATGCTGCGATTTCGACACCAAGTGGTCAAGAAGAGTCTGTTTGCTCCGGTGAATGTCCTCAAGAGAAGGATACTATAACTCAACTCTTGGTAGATATGCAAATCTTTGATGCAAAAGCGGTGTATGACGTGTATTTGCCGAATAGTCGGTTCAAGAAGTCTTCTCCTAATGAACCGAGCTTTGTGGCTTGCTTCTCGGGGTAAGGCATTTTTGTTACATCTAACTATTGAAGCAAGTTTTCCATTACACATCTTACTCAATATACTCATCCTCTTTTACAGGGACTCTCCACCAAGCAAAGAAGATATTAAAGTTCTGCGAAACCGCATAGCTGCACCATTAATGTTCTGTCATATCGCTCAGGGCCGCGCCAGTTTCTTTTCCTTCAGCTCCATAGACCTCCCTGTCTTACCATAAAATGTAACAGAAGACTCAACGATCTTGTATTCTTTAGACAAAGTCACTAAACAAAGTAACTTTGATGATGCTGATATACTATATTAGCCCTGGGCACGAAGCGAATATTCGGAAAATTTGTGATATTTGTTATTTGCTTCGCCTCGACGGAATAGTTGATTTTACTATTTGCTTCGATTCGTAAATTTTCGAGTATTCGGAACTTCGAATATTTGAATATTTTTCGTAATATTTGCGAATTACTTGCTTCGCTTCGACCCATCTAATTTTTTTTTTAAACTAAAAACATATAGAATATAAATATAAAATGCAAAATATGAAATATTAGAGGTTTTTATTTGATATGTTTTCAAAATAAGAAGGAAATGTAACCACCGTCGAAAGAATTCTCACATTTTATTTTTAATAATGATTTTTCTAGTAAAGTTTTATTTGCTTAAAAACAACATTTAACAAAAAAAAACCCAACGAGCCAAAATATAATAATTTGAATAATAGGCCTATCAGATATATACACAAATCTATAAATACACATATTATATATAATATATATATTATATAATAATTTATATTTATACATATATATAAATAGACGAAGCGAAGCGGATATTCGACACTAAAAAAATCAATATTTGTTATTTGCTTCGGTTCAATATCTTATAGATATTTGAATTTTTCGAATCGAATCGAAACAAATATCGAAGCGAAGCGAATCTAACGAATATTTTGCCCAGGGCTATACTATATCATGAGGTAATATGTATGACTATCTTTTTCTACAAGGTAAAGGAAGAATCTTGTAAAGAGCTTAGAAAATTGGATTGGACAGCGAAGCTGTTTTATATTGAGCGGTTTATAAATATAATGTCAGTAAACGAGAGCTATTGACACAAGCTTAATGCACAATCTCACTATAAAGTCAACAGCTCAGAAAATTGTTGTTTTTGATTTTGATACTTGTCTATGCTTTGAATTTTTGATACTCAATCTATATTTATTTTCTTGTTTTTTTTTTTTTAGAATTGATATGTTTTTATTGAATTCTTACCGAAAATAATATATGTTTTTATTGAATTTTATTAGAGACTATGTTCACACATAAAATTATGTAATTTCTATATAAAATTATATATTTTTGAAAATAACATATTTTTGAAAATACAATAAAAGACACAAAATAATAATACATTATAATAGAAAAAAATAAGACAAAATTTACAAATAAAAGAATATATATATATATATATATGTATTCTCTCTCTACCAAGTAAGTCGAAGTGAACGATTATTAAATTAGAATTTGTGTGCTAAAATTGGAAAATAGGAGGATATGTGATATTTATTGGAGAAATTCCTAAAAAAACATGACTTATTTAGGTGGTGTTATTGGATTCTAACTTATAAAGAATTTAGATGACTCTAGTAAAATCATAGTTTGTATGATTGTTTGATAATTTAAAGGATTGTCTGAGAGTTTTCTGTAATCTTGTTGATTAGTTTTTCTATAATCTTGTAAAGTCTCTCAAACAATCTCTGTATCTCTATATTAGTAAAAGAGAAGTACAAAATTGAATGTGGGTCGGGTCAAGAGTAAAAATTAACCCGACTTTAACAATTGGATACTTCAAAATTGGATATTAAAATGGATTTGGATACATACATCGGATACTTTCCATATTTAATTTTAGGATTAAATTATTTCTATAACTAATTTTAGGATTTCCTAATATTTATCTAACTAATTTAATATAATATATTTAAAACAATTATTATTATTCTTCTTTTATTTGATCTTTTTTTTTTAATTTCTGATATTATACTAAATAATAAAAATGTTTCAAAATTTTTTAATTTTTTTTTTGCATATGCTGCAATTTAAATTTTTCAAAACGGACATATAATACTCAATTACACTCGGTTAAATATTTTGGACAATGATTTAAAATCATTATAAGTATGACCAATATTAAAATTATGGGGGAATTTCAAAAATACCCCTTTTCATATACCTCTTTTTAAAAATACCCCCTTTTCAAACTTTATCAAAAAACCCACTAAAAATGTTGAAATTTATCCAAATATGTGTGTAAGCTTATAAATATATACACAAATTACCTTTATATGTGTCTAAAACTTTATACACCTTTCATAAATAGCGTAAAAATAAATTATAAAAACCTTATAAAAACCTTATAAAAACCTTATAAAAACCGTATAAACCTTTTTAAAAACCTTTTAAAAACCTTATAAAACTTATAAAAACGATTTAAAACTATTTAAAATATTTTAAAATATTTGTATCGAATCTCCCAGTAGTAGTTATTATATAGAAGTACCTTATAAACTACATAAAACTTTATAATTTTTTATATTTAAAAAGGGGTATTTTTTAAAATGGATAGATAAAGGGGGTATTTTTAAAAATGGGTACACCAAAGGGGGTATTTCTCAAAAATTCTCTAAAATTATTGTTACATAAGCATTTTTTTTTTATCAACTTACATAAGCATATTTAAAATATTTGTTTTGAGACATATATGTAAATTTGGAGACATGATTTTTATTGATAAAATATTATATATCAAACTACGTAAATTTTAGATAGTCCACGGGTAGTTTGTTAAAATCCAATTATAATGGTAAACCGAGTTATGAATAATGTTTATTACGATATGAATTCTGTTACGGGTTGGTTCTTCAAAAAATATATTATAAGTGTGTAATGTTTTACGTCTATTCCTACTTCTATTACAAAAATGGTCAAATTGAACAATTTATCGATAAATATTATTTCGTGCTGTTAAATTTTCACATTTTTTTTAATTGTATCAAAACTCAATATATTATTATTTACTCGCTTTTTCTTTTATTATTTTATTTAAACTTATATACAAATATATGATTCAATGTAATCGACTGCACTATAATAAAATTAAAATGTAATATAATTTAATCTGTTAAATTTTTTTTTTGGTAAGGTTAAATAAATTATTTTAAAAAATTTGTTAAACATTATATATAAGTAATTATTTCCCCCGCGCTGTAGCGCGGGTCCAAACCTAGTTTATAAGATACTTTTCATGACTTTATTTTGTAAAGAAAAGAGTTTAAAATAATAAACCAATAACATGAAATTTTAATTCATTAACAATCATAGATTCTTTTGTTTTAATTGAATAACAAAAAACTTTTAATGACTTAGTAAAACTCTGAATCCAATAACCCTATATTAATAAAAATTTTAAATGACTCTTTACAAATCAGTAACTAATAACACCAACCTTTAAAAGAGTTTAGTAAAATCTTGATTGAATAACAACATATTCTACCTAACATCTAAAGTCACCAAAACATCATATAACTCACAAACTAATAACAACCCCTTAATATTTTCCAGAAAAATACATGAACTCTTTTTCGTTGCCAGAAAAATACGAAACTAATTTATAGATGATAAAGAATATGCGAACTATTTCTATTTTCCAGTTTCCCACATATCATGGTCACGATATTCAACGAAACTAACACAATCATAAACATCGTTTGCCTATTGTTCATTTTTTTCTAAATTTCTAATCATAACAAAAGATTAAGTATGAAAAACAAAGATTGAAGATAAAGCTAAAATATCGAAAAAGAAAGATATTGTTATGATTATGACTACGATAAGAACGAAACTTCTTTACAAAATTGTCATAATAACAATGTTTACTATTGTGTTAGTTTCGTTGAAAATCGTGACCATAATATATAAGAAACTAGAAAACTGATATAGTTCACGTATTTTATATCGTCTATAAATTAGTTACCGTATTTTTAACAAAAAAAAATCATCTATTCCTCTGGAAAATATTAGATAAGTCCCATATTTACTGATATTTTAAGTTATCAGTATTAACTGGCTGTATATAAAATTATAAATATATTTTTTTTGGTAAATAAAATTATAAATATATGAAGACCTATCACTTTTGCAATTTCGACAAATAAATATCCCAAATTTAGTGGCGGCGAGAAAAAAAAAAAAAGAAACCTGTCTGCCGTGTAAGCTTCTCGATACGAGCGAGAGAAGAAGAAGAAGAAAGCAGACGCAAAAAAAATGTCGAAGACGCTGGTGCAGCCCGTTGGGCAGAAGAGGTTGACGAACGTTGCAGTGGTTCGCCTCAAAAAACAAGGCAATCGATTCGAGATCGCTTGTTACAAGAACAAGGTCCTTTCATGGCGGTCTGGCGTGTAAGCTTCTCAATCATCTCCGATTCTTCTTTTATTTTTGCTTTCGTACACTTTTCGTTTTCCTCGCGGTTTGATTTTGTCGAGTTTGGCGAATTCGATTCTGATTGTTTGATCACTGTGAATGATTGTGAGGAAGTGTGTGTAGTATGATGGATTTGGTGTGATGGTTGTGTTTGACCTAATTTGAAGAAGAATGAGTTTAATCGCATTATCAATCTTTTGTTTGTGTTGTGTTGATTTTTTTCGATTTTGATTTTGATGTAGGAGGTCTTAAGCATACTTTAGTTGTTTATCTCTGTAGATAATGTTATGGAGATTGTATAGTATGATGAATTTGGTGCGACGGTTGGTAATATTTGTGTTGATTTTTTTTTTCTGAATTTGGGGTATTTTGTTCTGTGTTAAGCCTATTTTAGGTGTTTATCTCTGTGAATAATGTTATGGAGATGGTATAGTATGAGGAGTTTTGTGTGACGGCTGGTCATATGTTTGAGCTTATCTGAAGTGAAACAAGGTTTTATGTTTGCGGATTGTCGTTTGATGTCTTCAAGTTGGTTTGTTCCATTTCACAAACCATTTGAGGTCAAGTTCATTAGTATCTGGATGAGATTTTGATTTGCTTTGTTTCATTAGTAACGTACTGAGCTGTGAGCTAAAATGTTCATGTAAATAATGTTACGTAAATGGTATAGTAGTATGATGATTTTGATGTGACGGTTGGTCATATGTTTGAACTTATCTGAAGGGAAATGAGTATTAGCAATAACAGTTTCAGTTTTCGTTTTAGGTTTTCCGTGTCTTTTGATGTCTTCAAGTTGGTTTTGTTCCTCTTTGTTTCATTACTGAGATGTGAGCGAAAATGTTCATGCAGGGAGAAGGACATAGATGAAGTGCTTCAGTCGCATACTGTTTATTCAAATGTTTCGAAAGGAGTTCTTGCCAAATCGAAAGACTTGATGAAGGCCTTTGGATCAGATGATCATACGAAAATATGCATCGATGTATGTTATGGCTTTTGTTTGGTTTCTTTGATTTTGAAGTACTGACTCCTTGGAATATGTCTTATATGTTTGATTTCCAACACTCATGTTCAGATTTTGGAGAAAGGAGAGCTTCAAGTTGCTGGAAAAGAGAGAGAATCACAGTTCTCTAACCAGTTTCGGGATATTGCAACCATTATTATGCAGAAAACCATCAACCCTGAAACACAACGGCCTTATACAATCACCATGGTAGAGCGCTTGATGCATGAAATTCATTTTGCTGTTGATCCTCATAGCAATTCCAAGAAGCAGGTGATTGGTTTGAGTTAAAATAGAAGCAAAGTGCCTTGTGGCCTACCTATGAAAAGTTTATGTAAGCCTTCAAATTTTTAAACTATGCAGGCTCTTGATGTCATCCGTGAGTTGCAAAAGCACTTCCCTATAAAGCGTTCTCCAATGAGACTGCGCCTTACTGTTCCGGTTCAAAACTTCCCCTCACTTCTGGAGAAGCTAAAAGAATGGGACGCTAGTGTTGTCTCAAAAGACGAATCTGGAACACAAATGTCCACTGTAATGATCTATATCTTCAAAATTTTGAACTTCTTATTTTGTTTTCTCTAATTGTGGTAATAAATTCTTATGCAGGTCTGCGAGATGGAACCGGGCCTATTCCGAGAGTGTGATTCCCATGTCAGGAATATGCAGGGAAGACTAGAAATACTTGCTGTATCTGTTCATGCAGAAGGTGACACAAGCATGGATCATTACGATGAGCATGATGATATGGCATTACAAACCCACAAGCCGTTGTTACCTGTTGAGACTGAGACTAAGGCTTTGACTGATCCCGTGGTCGAACTTAGCAAGAAATTGCAGAAGCAAGAGATAAGTACTGCAGATAACACAAAGCAAGAAGGAGGAGAAGAAAAGAAAGGAACCAAGTGTAGCACTTGCAACACGATTGTCGGGGAGGCTAAGCAATATAGAGAGCACTGTAAGAGTGATTGGCACAAACACAACCTTAAGCGTAAGACTCGAAAACTCCCTCCTATTAGTGCTGAAGAATGCTCGTCTGAGATTGACATGGACGACTCTAGAGCTGATTTGAAAGAGTACTCTTTCTGAAACTACATGTTCTTTTTAATTTTTGTCAACGTTGAATCTCGTAGTCATATGTGAGTATATGAATACACGAAACCTGCGGAATGAAAACTTACAATATGAGTATAATCTTTTTGTTTGTTTAAGAGACATTTTTCGATTTTTTGTATTTTAAGTGATAATTTTGGCTAACGATAGATAATTAATAATAATTACACTAATAACTTACAATCATGATCACATGACCAAACATAGACATCATACATTTCGTTTCAAAAATGCATATTATGTATTTAACGTTGTTGTCAGATAATTTAAGGAAAGTTTTGGTTAACACAATGGAAGAGAGATAAATGAAGGATAGAGCTTGATCATTGCCTCCCTGATGATGTGCCCTAAGGAACACACCCATAGAAAGATGTACATTATAAACTATAAAGCATAAGAAAAACTCCCCAAGATTAAAAAAAAAAAAAAAGAAATAGCAACTCAAGAGATGGTATGGTGATTGTAGAGGTGACCTAGAAACCAGTTGTTGGTACAAGATTTGACTCTTTCCTTTCTTAAGCACAATATCGCGGCTTATGGCCTATCCTTTTTATATCCTGAGTTGAGTTGTGTGATGCTGCACAAGCAAAACATTACCCGATTCAAAGTCTTCTTTTTGTTCTTCTTCGTCTTTATCTTACGCGTTCCAATCACACGGAAAATTGCTGAAACCGTTCACTGCTCCTAAGAGCTGGTTTCCCAGATCCTGTTGCGAGTTTGGATCCCGTACCATCATCCCAACTCTTCCGTTCATGAGACTATTGTTACCGTTTATATTATTCATTCCATTAGCTGTCATGGACTGACCCATCCCACCACCAAACCCACCAGCACCTCCAATACTTGGGTTGCTGTTGTTCACTTGGCCATTCATCATCAGAACACCAGAGCTATTTACATTAGCTGCCTTCCCATCATTCCCGAAAGACCCATGCCCACCCATGCTTCCTCCTGAGCTATTATGAGCTTGGTTGTTCATCAGGATCTCATTCAGTATCTTCTGCACCGAGCTAGATTCGTTTCCATCAACCTCACCCGCCTGTTGCATTGCTGGTGAGTTTGTCGAACCCATGTGATTACCAGATGGTATCCCGTTTTGAGAGGGATTATTGTTATTAGATGAGGATGTTGGAGACTGAAATGTTGGTAGGTTGTGTTGTTGCTGCGATGATGGCACCATGGTACCTGAGGAACTAGGTGACGCCATCTGAACAGAGTTTCCTCCATAGGGACTGTTTGGGGGATTGTAAGCAGAACTCTGATGTCTTGCCTTCATTGAATTCTGGTGGATGAGCCCTGCAATGCTGTTGGTGGAGGTGGATGCAGAAGCTGCATTAAAGGCGTAATTTACACCATTGCTGGGATTACCCTGCATTAGTGCCCCCTGCCTAGTACTCTGTTCACTGTTTGTATTCTGGGAAACTGTTTGCTGTTGTTGTTGTTGTTGCTGTTGCTGTTGCTGTTGTTGTTGCTGCTGCTGCTGCTGCTGTTGCTGTTGTTGTTGCTGCTGTTGCTGCCTTAGTTGTTCACTGGGTTGCTGAGGAGAAGGACCAGGCAAGGCAGATGAAGGGCCTGTTCTCCGAGGAAACTTGGCTAAACTCTCTGTACCAAATAGAAAAACACAGAAAAGATATTAGATGCTATAAGATGAAAAACATCGTTTACTTTGCCAGGAGGTCACATTAACTTACCAATTGGTCCTGTTCTTGTTTCTCTGCTATAATCTATCAAGTCCTTCATACTATTTACCACCTCCGAGATCTACAATATTGCAAAGTATCAATAATGTGCATTGGCAAACAAGGTCAAATGGACAGGGTCATTACTAATGTTAATTTAATCATTTCGTTATGTATATCCCTTCAAAGCTGAAGGTCCATTGAATGCAAGGCTACAGAGTTGCAATGTGGTTTGATTCATATTGAGACATTCTTCATATACCTGCAAACACCGAACATATCTCTTTGTGTATCCCAAATCATTCACAAGTGGTACTTCCAGGGCCTTTGCTAATTGTCTAGCAGATGCAACAAACCTGCAGAACAGTGGCAGCACATAATAGATCAGTAATCAAATGTCGAGTAACAGGATTTGTTATATCAATCTAACAACAAAAGAGAGGAAAAGTTTACATGTTGCAATTATTTTGTAACTCCGGAAGAGCAGAATCTGTTGTTGCACTTTGAGCGGCTTGTTGATATTTTTGAGCTGCCAATCCAAGCTGACTAACCTGTATGGGAATACAAAAATAGCTAATTACCTAAGCCGTTTTCACTTACCTAGATGCACATTCTACTCCTATTGACATTTGGAAACCACAAATTGTGGAAAAGTTAAGTGACGATTTCACACTAAACGAGACCAGAATAGTATTACGATAGAATAAATCAAATTTGTGCCAAAAGGAAAGGCCATATCTCCAACATAACTATTTGCCAGAGCAATAACTTCCTGTCACAACGTATGTACTGGAAACAACATAGGCCTCTTTACAGACTAGCTTTATCAGTTTCTTATAAATATGAATATAAAGTTTATTAACATCAGTTTCTTTCTTGAAGTTACCTGCGGTATCAAAAGCCTTTTTGGAATCAGCTCTTCATGCCGCCGAGCACAAAATTCCCACGAGAATATCTGAAAGGAACTTACAAGAATAAAGGGCTTGGAGAGAAACTAATGGTATCATAATTTGCAGCTAGAGCAAGAGAGTTGTTTGACAAACCTTAAGATCTGGAGAGAATACTATTCGAAGTTGGCCATCACGAACAACTCGAAGATGCTCAAATACACTCTCTTGTGTTGCTTTTGCGTACTCCAACACAATTTGACCAGATGAATTCTGAGATTCCCTTGGCATATCGACATATAAAAGTTCTTCCAAAGTGCCACTTTCATACTTTATCTTAAAAAGCCGTGGGAGGACTTCGGCGGTTGCCTCTAAATAATGGAAAGAGGAAAAGAAGACAAAGGATGAGTAAGTAAGAAAAGTTCAATAACTACAGAAATCATGTTATATTCCAAAACAGCACAAGCAGTCAAGTACTGATCATCTAGATAACATACCAAAACCACGTCCAGGCTTTCGGTTACATATCTCACAGTGCCACACATCCTGCAATGTTTGTGAATAAAATACCCATGTAAAGAAGTATAACATGAAACAAGTACCTAATATACTGAAAACAACTGGCTCAGTCGCATGAAATCAGCTTAGCATAAGACGATAGAGCTAGATGAATAGACAAGCTCTCTCACAATTGTAATAATAACAAGATAAAGTTCACTGAGCAGTAAACCTGAGGGAAAACACCAGTTGTTTGGCGGCCACTGCCATACATTGAGACGCACCATCTCTTTTTTGCATTGGGAGCAAAGTACTCAGCTACAAATTTTCTCCAGAACTCGATATTATTGTCCTGCATCGATAGCAGGCAGAACTGTCAAGCATGAAGAAAAACACTAGGCTGTAAAGTAATTAATTAATGGTAAGAAGCTTTACTTCAGGCCTATGTTGTTGTCGGTACATATACTGTGTAAGTCGCTGAGCACCCATGCCAGGCTCATACACTGGTTTCATAGGTGGCCGCAGAGGTAAATTCTGCTGTTGGAACTGCTGTGGTAACTGAGGACGCTGTTGAGGCATAGATTTCAGGAGTTGCTGTTGTTGAAGTTGCATAAATCTCTGCTGGTGAAATATGTTCATTTGAGCCTGCTGAGATTGCCCCGGCATTTGAAGAAATTGTTGTTGTTGTTGTTGCTGTTGTTGCCTCTGCTGTTGTTGGAGAAACAATGACTGCTCTGAATGTTGAGGTTCCATTTTCACTTGGGCCAAGTTTCTCATGGCCTGAAGTTGCTGCGGTTCCAACTTTACTGATCCTAGGTTTCTCAACATTTTCTGCTGTGGCTGTTGTCCTTGACCATGCTGCTGATCGTTAGAAACCTGACCAGGTTCCAACTTGACAGGTCCAACACCTGCTAAGCCACCTCCACGCACAGTTGGAAACTGCTGCTGCTGCTGCTGTTGCATTGACTGCTGCTGACCATGTTGAAAATTCTGAGGCTCCAATTTCTTATTCCGTTGTTGCTCGGCCAACAACTGGTTAGACGAAACATTCGAGAATTGCTGACCCTGAACTTGACCTGATGAGCGCGGGGACACCATACTCGACGCATTAAAAGACGACAACCCACTAAACCCGACACTAGACAACGGGTCTGACTCAGCCCCACTTGTATCCATAGAAATCACAGAACCGGGAATACCATTTACAAAAGACTGATTATTGAGAAGGGAAGATATGTTTGGTGCATTCCCAAGCATACTCATACTCATATTGTTACCAAACTGATTACGCGGAGAAACAAGAGAGGGAAATGCTGGTTGAGAAGGAAGAGGAGCTCCTCCTCCTTGTCCTCCTAAGATAGAAGGCGGAACACTTTCACCACTACCAACAGGATTAGGTGGCTCTGATGGTACCATACTCCCCACAAATCACAACTCCACACAATCAACAAAAGCAAAGAACAAAACTTTGACGCGTTGAATAAAAACTGTTATAAACAAAACACTCAGCTCTGTGTCCGAGCAAAGATGTCACCAACGCACAATGAAGTAGAAACGTCTTCTTCCTGACCAATGATAAGCTTCAGAGCCGTAATTTCCACGAAACAGATGTCGAAAAGAGCTGAATCTGAGTGATGAGATTCCGTATCGAACATTCTAAGACCCAACCAAACACACTGCTTCCGTAATCAAATGAATTCTTCAGATCCAAATTAAGCAAATCTACTCCATTCGAACTCAGCACCTTGAACCAAACCAAAATCAATAAACAAGTCACAGAGAGAACACAAAAGCAAACACAAACAACAAAGTTAAGAACAACCCAGAAAGGAAAAAACAAAACTTGATCAAACCCTAATTGAGAAAACAGAGATTACTACTAAGAAGCAAAACTTACCCAGAAGCTGGAAATTGAAGAATAAAGTCTCAAATCATAGAGAATCTGAGAAAAAGGTGGAAACTTTACAAAAAAAAAAACCCAAAATCAAACTCTTTCTATGTATCTTCCAAACTCAGATGAACACAACAAAACAATCAAAAATGAAGAAACTTTACAAGTCTTTTAGGGTTTGTAGTTACTGGGTTTGAAGAAGATGAAGAACCCAAAAACAAAAAGCTAAAAAGGAAGAAGAAGAAGAAGCAGAAAACAATTGTGTGCCGCCTACAAATTGTTGTTTCTGGGTTTTATTAAATTATACCTTTTTTTAGCTTCAGAGTATTGTGTCCTGTTCTTCGCTGTAGAGAGAGAGAGAGAAGAAAGAAGAAGATGAAGAGAGAGAATAGTGTCCTTGCGGACGTCAAAATTGTATTCGATCGGATTTATTTCATTCCCTTTCTTACTTTTTTTTTTTTTTTTTCTTTTCTTCAGTCTCTATTTCTCTCTCCTTCAAACGAAGTCAATGACATGCCCTAGAAATGTTTTTTCTCAGATTTTATTTTTTCAACTCATAAAACATTTTGTTTCTATATGTTTATTATTTTTTAGTGATTTCATTGTAATTTATTTTAGTTTCACAAAAGCTATATAGATATGTTTTTTCTCAGATTTTTTTTATCTTTTTTTTGAACCCTTAAAGTTTTTTTTATATGTTTATTAATTTTTAGTGTTTTAATTGTAATTTATTTTAGTTTCACAAAAGCTATATAGATATTTTTTTCTCAAATTTTATTTTTTCAACTCATAAACAATTTGTTTATATATGTTTATTTAACTGTAATTTATTTTAGTTTCACAAAAGCTATATAGAAATTTTGTTTCTCAGATTTTTTTTTCTCTTTTTTTAACCCTTAAAGTTTTTGTTTTTATATGTTTATTAATTTTAGTGTTTTAATTGTAATTTATTTTAGTTTCACAAAAGCTATATAGAAATTTTTTTTCTCAGATTTTATTTTTTCAACTCATAAACATTTTGTTTCTATATGTTTATTAGTTTTTAGTGATTTAACTGTAATTTATTTTAGTTTCACAAAAGCTGTATAGAAATGTTTTTTCTCAGATTTTTTTTTCTCTTTTTTTAACCCTTAAAGTGTTTGTTTTTATATGTTTATTAATTTTTAGTGTTTTATATTGTAATTTATTTTAGTTTCACAAAAGCTATATACAAATGTTTTTTCTCAGATATTTTTTTCTCTTTTTTAAACCCTTAAACTTTTTGTTTCTATATGTTTATTAGTTTTAGTGTTTTTATTGTACCTTTTTAGTTTCACCAAAGCTATCAATTTTTATTAAGAGTTTTTTGTCATATGAAATTTTACAAAATTTATCGTGGAACCACAAGTGAAATACAAATTCTAAAATAAGTAAACTTTTTTAAAGTAAAAGGAAATTTATATAGATTTTAAAAAAAAATTAATGTATTACTATATTGATAAATGATTTCTTAAAGATTATTTTAATTTTAAAATACTCGATTTGGTTCATAAAATCATAATCGATTTTTTTTAATGATTAATGGTAAAAATTTCTATGTTTTCTTCTTTTTGTTATTAGTTGAATTAAGTCAGTTTAACTATAATATTAGGGGGGTGTATTCAAAGTATAATTTTAAGAGATTGTGTAGAACTTATAAATCCACTGTTATTCAAACATGAATTTTAAAAAAGTCTTATGAAATCCACTGTTATTCAACTAATGATTTCAAAATCCACCTTAAAATTCACTGTTATTGAAAACAATTTGTGGATTTGGCTTTTAATGATTTCGAAGGATTTGGGAGGATTTTCTTAGTTAAAAATACAGAAATCTAAATCCCATGGTTTTTGGTGAGATTTGAAAAGATTTTACAAAAGTCATATGAACTTCCCTAAATCATCAAAATCATTTATGGGGGTGTATTCAAAGTGGAATTTCAAGTGATTTGTAAAAAGTTTACAAATTCTGTGTTATTCAATCATGAATTTTAAAAAGTCTTATGAAATCCACTGTTATTGAACTAATCATTTTAAAATCCACCTTCAAATCCACTGTTATTGAAAACAGTTTGTGGATTTGATTTTAAATGATTTCAAAGGATTTCAGAGGATTTCAGAGAACTTCTTTAGTTAAAAATACAAGAATCCAAATCTCATAGTTTTATGTGGGATTTGAAAGAATTTTACATAAATCATATGAAATTCCCTAAAATCATCAAAATCTCAATAAAACTCAAATCTCTTAAAATGTTACTTCCAATACACCCCTCTTAAAAACTCAATAAAACTCAATCTCTTAAAATTCCATTTTGAATACACCCCTCTTATAGTCGATCTCATCCACCCATCAAAAATGGTGTTGAATCTACGGATCATTAGATAGACAAGAGTTTACTTAGCTAAGCAACAATTTATGTTATTGTGCTTTGTGAACTAAATAAATTGGGATTATAATGGTTGCTAAAATTGCTTAGGGAAAATTTCAAAAATACTTCTTTTCAAATATCACTCTTTTAAAAATATCCCTTTTCAAACTTTATCAAAAATCTATTAAAAATTTGATATTTATCCAAATATGTGTGTACTTATAAATATACACACAAGTTACCTTTATATATGTATAAAAATTTACATATCTTTCATAAATACCGTAATGCTTTATAAAATTTTTTTATAAACTTTATAAACCCTTATAAAATCCTTTTAAAAACCTCGTAAAACTTGTAAAAACGATTTAAAACCTTTTAAACGTTATAAATTATTTGGATCTGACCTCCCAGTAGTAGTTATTATCTAGAGGTACCTTATAAACCACATGAAACTGAATAATTTTTCATTTTTAAATAGGGGTATTTTTGAAAATGGATAGTCAAAAAGAGTATTTTTAAAAAGACGTACACCAAATGGAGTATTTCTCAAAACTTCTCTTAAACAAACTAAAAGTTTAGGCTTTAAGTAACTGATTTCATATATAATTATTTCTACAAAAGTATGATAAATTAAAATAAATAATTCATGTTCAAGAACTATCAATCTATAATCGAATAGATATGCTTTATAACTCTAGATGATTTTCTTATGTTCACTTGTTTCTTGTATATTCTTGTTTACGTTTATTTGCATGGATATCACTCTGTATTGCACATGCAGCGATTAGTATCGTTTGATTTTCCGCACAAACCCCTCGAGTCCCTATTACTCCTTATGGTTGTTCTAGCTTAATCTAGTCTATATAGTCTTTTGAGTTCTTGCTTTTCCCCTTGTTGATTTAATCCCTTAAGTACTCTCATAGTGTAACTGTACACTTGCGGTTTTATTAATGGGGTAAAATGATAACCTCTTATTTTCACCCAATATATCCCTTTTCATATTGTAATGCTCGTGTCCTGTTTTTAGGACAGTGTCGATCGGCACCAAGGATGAGTGTTTTCTGCTTCATATTTATATTATTAGGAATGAGATACTCAATTTCATATTTATATTATATTGTTAATATTCATTTGTATGTAATCCCTTTGATTGAGGCCAATCCCCTTAATCTTGGTAACCTCCAATGTTATATGTAGCGATGTATATCATTGTTCAATGATCAAAGAATCATATTCACTTACATATGTCGATCGACACCATCAATTTTGCCTGTTTGGGCGGTTTAGCTTAATTGTTGGTTTAATTGAGCTGGTTTAGAAGCCTTAATTTTTTATTCAAGACTCGAAGACGGCCACTTTCTTCTCACTGTTTGCATTTTCACATTATTTGAAGCAAAAGAGAGAGAGAGAGAGAGAGAGAGAGAGAGAGAGAGAGAGAGAGAGAGAGAGAGAGAGAGAGAGAGAGAGAGAGAGAGAGAGAGAGAGAGAGAGAGAG